CAAGAGAATAATTCAAAAACTTACACTTTTATATCTGGTAGCATGACTCATTTTTTTGATTTGTCTAAGTTTCAGATTTTTAATCAATGTCAGAGGTCATTCTTACAGTTTGGCAGCCAAAAGCCTGGCTTACACTTTTGGCAGACTCCTGCTATTTGTCTCATTAGCAGACAGTCCTTACTGAACAGCATGGATGTGCAGATTTCCCCTCATACACCTGTGAAAATAGAGCAAAGTTCTTTGAAGTCTAAGACATTTACATTCTCCATGTGCATTTGTATAGTAACTATGCACTTTTTTATGTGCTATTGAAAACGCTCACATTTGGCTATTGAAGATGGACACCCTAAAACAGGGATTAGATGGCAAGTATGAAATGTATCAGAAAATGCAAAAGCATTATGTATTACTCCTAGCACAATAGTTATAGTTCTGGCAAATTGTAACAAAAGCATATCACTCCAGTCAATCATATATTCTGCGCAGGAATTCAACCATGATTGTAAGGTGCATCTCTCAGGACTAGTACACTAGCAAGCTAAATTTGCCTGAAATTCAAATACATAACACATCAGGCTTTTTGTCCCAGCTGAGTTTAACAGCCACGCAGAGGAGCACCCATGCCCCCATGTTTCATTTGAAACTCAGCTCAACAGTCTAACAGGCAGAATGCTGATGTATGCACCAGACAGTGAAATGTAAAAATGTAAATGTAAAGATTCTGTAAATTAGCTTTTCAACTGACTTTTCAAATTTTTTTATGAAGCTATCCTGAGCTAGTCTCTCCTGCTATTGCATGGAGATTTTCTTTTCTTAATGCCTTCTATAAGCTTCCAGTCGTATAGTACAACTCTTAACAAAACAAAAACAAAAACAAAAAATCTTCTACTAAAGTTTAATGTTATAAACAAGGTCACTAATACTAGCTACAACTGCTGTCTCTCTTTTAAAGATGGTGGTAAAAAACAAGTAATTGCCTTAAAGAAATCAATTATCTGAAAAAAAGACTCTTCTAACTAAGACATAAATATACTAAGAAGTATCTCAGAGTCTGAATTAAGCAGACAAGGAAGATTCATAAGTCTCATTAAGAGAAACATCAAAGAAATAAGCACCAGACAGCCATAAAAGACAAACTGTTAATTGTCTCTCCCAGTGTGGGCCACTTACTGTTATTCTTGTTTTATAACTGCTCTAGTTAATGGATAAATCGGTTATCTAATTGTTGGCACAGTGAAAGATCCTTACAAGTTTCATCTGCCCAGATTTGTTTGCTGAAGTGATGCTCAACTCACTTGAATAAGCTGGCAGCCTCATCATCAAAAAAATTCAAGACAACAAATCAGAATACTGCTGTTTGGGATCCAAATATATATTTAGATTGCTATTTCTCTACTTAAGTGCTGATTGTTTTCATTTTTGAGGTATGCTGACAGTGTCAAGAATCAGACTGGGGATGTTAATCATCGCCAAAATGCCGCCAAGTTCACTGCTGCTTCCTTCTCTGAACGTTGATGACAAATGCTTAAAATCACACTGACTAACACGTGCAACAGAAATAAGCAAAAGATGCCAGCTGGGTTCACAGAGCATAGTCCACATAGTCCACATAGTCCATCTCATCCTTTTAAGGACCATAACCTGGGTGGGAAACAAGCAGTAAAACAGTAGACGTACAGCTAAATACCTCCGACAACCATCTCCAAATCGCTGCTTTCCTTGAGGATGTTTTGCACTAGCCTGCAAGTGGATTAAATCCTAGAAGCACAATATGAAAAGTAAAACAGCAGAATGTTTGAAATCCAGCACTCCTGGATTTCAGGAGAGACTCACCTGCCTTCTTGATAATAATCTACTTCCTACAACATGACAAATTTTTAACTGTGTATGTAAATATTTCAAAGTTTGGGATATGATTTTAGTTCCCTTATAACACATGAGGATTTCTTGATATAGATATTTGCATCTGTGTTAAATTGTGACATTGTCAGCCTAATAACAAGTTGAACTCAGAAGGCCTCAGTTCTGTTTTCAGACAGCATTTTTTGTTATCTAAATTTTCATACAGCTAGCTGCTGAACTAATGGTTCACAATCATCCCTTTTAAAACAGAGGAAAAAAACCAAAGACAAAGCGAGTAGTAAGTACAGGTTAATTTTATACAACCTGCTGACCCACAAGGCCATGCAAGTGAGTAGATGTTGTCCCATTTGTCCTTAGCCAAGCATAAAACCTGAGCATGAAGGTCTCCCCCTACACACCATTTCCAGAAGTCAAACTCCAAAATGATAGCTGGACACTAATCTCTCAGATGAGACTGGAGACCAAAAAGACGCACATTTCACCTGTGCTGTTTCTGAGGGCACAGCATCAAGCACCCCTACACAGCCCAGACACATGCTCTGAAAGGGGAGGGAGGAGGAGAAAGGAAGCCCTTGCATGAGGCTGTGCCTGAGAAACAACGACTGTGAGCTGGACATCCCTCAGCTCCTCTGCCAAACGACTCACTCCAGGTTCCCACAGCATCACAGACATTTACAGGAATAGGAAAATCACCCCCGGCCCTGAGACATGCTGGAGATTTCAAGATACTCCAGTAAAAAAATTTTAGTTTTAACAAGAAGCAAGTTCAAGAGACTCTGATACAGGTTTTATAGAAAGTATTAATACAACATGGTTTTAAAACTAAAAAGCCCCTTAAAAGACTTGGACTGAAAAATAAAAGGTGCTAAAACATTCTTTTTGAAAGCAAGAGTAAAAAGGAGAATAACGTTTTCTGCCAAAATGAAATCTTGTAGCTTTCTCTTCCTTTCATCTGTTCCTTATTACCCTACTTATTGTTCTATTAGACATATCATAGTCACACAGATGTAGCACTAATCATAGGGTAGGAGTTGCCAGCTGCCTGGGAGGATAAAGCTACTCTGACATTATCCCAACAGGCACCCAACAGTGACTTAGGAAATACAGCCTTTTAGCTGACCCCTTTGTAAAGAAACAGGTGCCATCTGAGCATGCTGGGAAATCCTTTCTGATGCAGTCAGCTCCCCCTCAACAGTTCACAATTTAAAGTGAAAAAAAAATAGCGACACCTATCATTTTGCACACTGAGGTTAGGCAAAAATTGGTGAGGCTTCCCTTGAGAGTGTTGCTTGCTAAAGATATTTATGGCTTAGCATGTCACCCTGGTAAAAAAAAAAATTCTTTATTAAATAAATTAAATTTTAAAAATAAGGATGATTGGGGGGCTTCAATTGCACTTTATGTTTCAGACTTGATTTTAGTCTAAGATCTACACTTTAAGATACTTCTGCCACTAAGCTTGTGCACAGCTAAAGAATCATCAAAATTCTTCCCTTGAAAACATTCCAAATTTTGAAGTAAGCCTGAGGGGTAAACCTTTGACAGCTTTTGAAAACTTGAGACTGATACTTGATTTTTTTTCCACAGGAAAGCACACAGGAGAGAAAAATATGAATCAAGACAGGACGGAGAGAATTGGGACACACTGCAGTAAGCAAATACACCAGTGATGCCACAAATTTCTTCTGGTCCCACATAGTAAAAGGGTTATTAGCCATGCCCTACTGCATGTCCAGTGCCCATCCCAGAGCTGTAAGACCTGAAAGGGATCCCGAGGAAGCTGCCCTACCTCAGCCTCTCATCCCTTCTGAGCCTTGGGGCACAAGAAACCTGTCTCACCACACTGGGCACAAAAGGGGGTCTGCACCGTCACCCCCTTTAGGGAGGGAAGGGTTAAAAGTGGAAGAATGGTGAGGAGGATGGTAGATTTGTTCAAGTGACCATGCAGCAGGAATGTCGAGGTCTGAAAAACATCAGTGCAGGAAACCCCATGTATTATACCTCCTGCTGTTTATCCTGGGTCAGTTTTGTGAAGTAGAATCTCTGTGTAGAGATAACATAGGATTTTACAGAAACTTGGAGGCACTCTCACAGACATACTTGAACTCCTTGTTTTGGGAGAGAGATCAAAGCTCAGAGATCATAAAAAGCACAAGGGAGATCACAGCGTGGTGGTAAACTACACATGCGTAGGCCCTTGATAAATGGGTGCAAACAGCAGGCCCACAGCCCACCAGGATGGGCTGAACCTAGAGGTGCTGCATTCCCTCTTGTGTGTCCAGGTGTTGCTGCGGGATCCTCCAGTTAAAGAGGTAACAAAATAAATTCACTCTTTGCATTTCAGTCGTGGTTTTGTGGCTGTTCCAGCTGCCTGCCTGTGTCCATTCACACACCTCAGCCGCGGATACCAAACCTGTCGTGGCATTGCAGGGGACGTGTTTGACTTTGGCTGAATACCACAGCTCCACAATAACATGCCAGCCCCACTGCCCTGCTCTCCACTCCTCGTGCTTGGCTCAGAGAATATGTCTCCTTCCTCCTCTGCTGTTGCCACCCTACACTCCTCCTCTCGCTGTTCACCACTTCCATTCCAAGCTGGAGCAAAGTATGGCTGCGCCAGCTGCATCTGGCAACAGGTGCCAGGAGGACCGTAAATCTTCATGCCACCAGAAATGAAGTTTCCACCTCATTCAAACGAGCCTGTGCGTCATGGTGAATTTTACGTCCATTAGCAAGAGTTGCAGCTTCAGATCGTATCTCAAGGCTTCTACCCGTGGTTTCTTATGTCTCGGTCACTCACCCAACAGACCCCTGTAATGTCAGGGACATTGCATGCATGAACAGCTCTCCCAAAGGCATGCTAGAAATTCAAAGAATGAAGTTTAAACTTTCTCTTCCTCCTGTGATTCTCATTTCATGGGTTCAGCAACACCACAAGCCTCCTTTACACCCTTAAATATTAACACAGCTATTCTCTTGATGTGGGATTCCTCATTATCATATGAATAAATGATTAATTGTCACCATACCAAGCAAGTGCAACTTTTATAACTACATGAATCAGCACTGTGCCAAACCCTTCAAGAACAGCAAGAGTGTTCAAGCATTTATTGCACTTTATTGCTTCCTTGATCTTTTAAAAGGACTCTCTGACAAACAACCATTTACACAGTCTTGAAAGTTTACTGTCAATGTACTGAGCAGTTCTGTATTTCAAAATGCAGGCATACCTTCTTTCCCAGCAATTTAGTGGTAGCTCTTTGGCAGAAAACTCCACAGCTTGTCCAGAAAATGCTACTATTTGTGATGGCACGTCTTGTGTATTACCAGAAGATAATTTTAATGAAACTTTGAGCGTAGTTTTAAGTACTGTTCTAACAATTATGCTGGCTTTGGTGATGTTCTCCATGGGCTGCAATGTGGATCTTAAGAATTTCTTGGGCCACATAAAAAGACCCTGGGGTATTTTTGTGGGTTTCCTTTGCCAGTTTGGAATTATGCCTCTCACAGCCTTCTTGCTGTCTTTGGCCTTTAACATCCTTCCTATTCAAGCTGTCGTGGTGCTGATCATGGGATGCTGTCCAGGAGGCACAGCCTCCAATGTCATCGCCTACTGGGTGGATGGAGACATGGACCTAAGGTAAGAGCAGCCATTCTTTAAGTACTTCATACAGTGCCTTACATTGTAAAGTCTGTATTGCAAAGGTCTGTCTCACCTGTCTGAATTTTTTCTTAACCTCCTGGCATATGCATTGTGAAGATTCTTCTTGTAAAGATGCTTAGTTACCGTAATAGCAGAAACAACAAATATCCTTGGGAATATTTGTTCATTGGGAATTCATGTAGAACATATCACAACAGAATTGTGTACATTAGAAAATGTCTTTATAGTAAAACTTCAAATCCTGCAGCAAATAGCATTTATGAAGACAGCTAAGAGACTAAAGATTATGAAACCTTTGCCCAAGTAGGAACTACTTATTTTTCTCCCAAGTTAAAAAAAAAAAAATCAAATAAAGAATAACATAGGATTTAGGATAAGAATGCTCTGTACAAAATAGTGTCTATGCAATTGTTCTCAGAAAAAGAGCCCCTGTGGACAAATATTTTTCCTCCTTTTGTGTTCTCTACAATGAAAAGGCAGGCATTGATTTTCTCTTTGGGAAATAATACAAATGAATATAACTTGAGATAATTGTATCTGCTCCTTGAACTTATATAAAGTCTTCAAACTGAGGGAATATTTTACAGGCTAGAAGCCACTACTTTTGGCAATCCTGCATACTGGGGGCAGTGAAAAAACTCCTTTGTGGCAAAGTGTGGTGATCTCAATGACAGCATGCTCTGAACTCAGAAGTAGATATGTAAGGCACCTAACCTGGTCTAGGACACCAAACACACAGGAGAATGAAGCCCTACTCTTGATGCAAATTCCATGGGGGATTCATTAACTCTAAGAGCCTTTAAAAATGAGCCATCTTTTTATTTTTATATCCTGATTACTTTTCTCTAAAATAAACACAATAATTTCTCTCTTTCTCACAGAGTAACATAAATTGGAGCCTTCATCCAATTTATCATATGCCAGTCTGAACTAGAAATGGAAAAACTAATAGAAGTAAGAAAGATGTGGAGCTAGAGCAAATAGGCTAAGAATGTTAATATTTGTAGTTTTAATACGACATTTTTTCCATCCTTTGAAAATAGTGAACTTTTCTGTCACATACAGATGTTAATGTAATACCAGATTTCAAATTATGTATGAGGTCAGCTCTGCTAATCATCGACTTCCTTACTGTAGAGGAAAGACCTATGATATTAAGAATCTGTACGACACTCAATTTCAATTAATACAGGTCTAATAAACCACAGATGGAAAGATATCCAGTACAAGTCTGAAATTCTGTTCTAATCTCTCCTCAGCCGAACGCACTGAGCTAAACTACGCTTTCTCAGCTCAGTATTGTTCAGAGTTGCACCACTGAAATCTGTGGTAAAAATCTGAATAGATAATGCTATAAATATGAGTAGGGTTTCTATCCCAGATGCTGGCAGAAGTAAATTAAAAATGCCTTTAAAATGTTATTCTTCAGGTAAAGACCTTTATCTTAAGAAGTCAAAGACTTTTGGTCAGTACCTTCGGTGACAGAGTTTCAGGACCAGAGGGTATTAGAGGTACAGCAGATTGTCAACACAAACATCTTCTTTTCTCTATAGAATAGCACTAGAAGGAGTGTGGCTGTTTTCTGGAACCACCACAGTATTACAGAAAGCCTGCCCATCATATCAGACAGGGTTTTGGTTTTAACTGGTAATATTTTATTTACACATTAAATTCCGTGACCATTGTCTACAGTCCTGCTTCAAAACATCACTGTGCATATAGACCTGACGTTAGAGCAGGAATTAGTTTTATATTTAGTATTACAATTACACTGAGGTGAAGTATGATGTTTCATACCTTTCTTCATAAGTCAGACCCAGCTGATATCCTCTAATGCTTCCCATAGAAACATCTTTTGATAATTCACAACAACTGCTTCTGTGAGCACATAGACTGGGGTTGGAGGATGTCCAGACTTTGGAGAAGGATGTACATTCAGGGACAGTATAAAGATGTAGGAAATAGAGACGTAGGAAAAATAAGATTTTTTTTGTCCGTTTGGGGCTTTATCAGACCTGAACTGTAGCCCGTGACTCTTTTTCTCTGTAGGAGACTTCTGAAAGAACTCTCTTGCCAGAGGCTTCTGCAAAATCCTTTTCAATGACTCTAAAGAAGAGAGAGAGACAGAAAACAAAATTAATACAAATATTTCTGTCATTTCTGTATCAATTGTTCTAGATTTCTCTGGATCTGCCCAGTTGTGGGTCAAGGTCAGTCGTCCTTTTTCTGAGGACAAGCAGCACAAAAGAGAACCAGAAATGAGGGTCAGAAGGAAGCTTCCAAAGGCTCTTAACTAGAACCCTCTCTCAGTATTTTTATGCCAGAAAAGTGTGATTTGTAGGCATAATTTTTATCCATTCTACTTGGATTGTGAGAATTTCCTCCTTACTTTGGACATCTTGCCTTTTCCTCTTTCTTCATGCAGTAGCAGAATGCATCTTTTTATACAAGGTGTATCAGAAAACAGAAATATCTTTGCATAAAGAAACAATACTTATGCTAAGTTTCACTGAACAATTCTCAGCACCTAATCTTTGGCCTAGAACAAAACAAGCAAGAAAGGGAATTTTATTACTTCAAATATCCAAGACAATGAAATATTTTTTTATGCTATTGAATTCAGAGTGAAATTTAAATGTTCTAGAACTGCTGGTGTAATGGAAAGTTCCATATGATGCCCATCTCTGCCCCTGTCCAGCTTGCCATCCTCTCAGAAAGCAACCAGACAGGCAGCATGCAGACAAACTTGCCAACAGACTTTCCCACTGACTACCTGTCTGACTGACTCATTTGCACCAAAGTTGTGGTTCTGTGGCTGCAAAACACCTTGATATTCCATGTTCCTTTCTTTTCGGCAGAAGTCATTCTTTTCATTTGTCTTTTTTTTAACCTGATATACAGGATAAATTGACTGTAGCCAGCAGCAATCCTTGCCCAACCTTTCAGAAGGTGTGAGGTGGTAATAAGAAAATGAGAAAGACTACGGGCTAGCATGAAATGAACTGTCACTGTAACCAATTCCTTTGCAGCATCAGCATGACAACTTGTTCCACACTGCTTGCAATGGGAATGATGCCCCTTTGCCTCTTTATTTACACCAAGATGTGGACTGATTCTGATGCAATTGTACTCCCCTATGACAGCATTGGTGAGTCCAAGTGAACCAGATGCCCTTCCGACTGTCTATCCTCCCTCCAATGACAACTACCTCTATACCATTATCCTGCAGAGTCAGGAAGATATTACATCAGATTTTTAAAAATATTCATCTTCCTCCTTTCTACTAACCTTCATGGGAATTAGGTACCAGAAATCCCTTCCCGTCATCCACAGCTCTGCAGAAGAAAGACTTAAAATCATCATAAATATTGTACAGATATTTATCACAAGATTGTGCATGTTTTTCTTTCCAAATGACTTTGAGACTTGTGTCTCAAAGACTTATTGGGATAAGAATATAGAATCATTTGTATAGGAATGGCTGCTTCTCCTGGATGAAAGTGTTTGTAACAGCTTTAAGACACAATCTTGCAAAGTGCTAAATGCTGAGGCCATAATCTGGCAAAATACTTAAGCACACATGGATAATTAAGCAAGTGATTAAAACTGCTGGGTCCCTTTGAAAAGCTGCAATCTACACTGCCAGGAGTGGCTTCATTTGACTCTCTGTCAAAAATCTCATCCAGCTACAAAGAGAAAATAGTTAAGGTATTTAGAAATACATGCTCCAGTGATTTGCAAAGCTGTGGCCCTAGTGCTTATCAAGTGCAGTTCCATGTTGTGCTAATCTTAAAAGCTAGCAGAATCACTTTCATATTCTTCAATTTCATTTCCCATTGTCCCTGGGGAAAAAAAAAAATCTCATACTTTGCTTGTGCTTTCAAAATAAATACTGGAGGGGGAAGGCCAAAACAAAAGAAGCTCTAAACCGGTTGTTGATAGGGTACAGTAGCAGAACACCTGCAGACAAAATGAACAGTTAATATAGCTACTCACATCACAGGATAGTGATGATTAGCACACTCAAATTTCTGTTTGCCTTTCTGATGCAGGTGAATAAGCATGTAGCTCAGCAGAATGGCAATTACTTCAACAGGCTGCCAAAGATAACAGACTCTATAGAAAAGCAAATGGGCAGGTGCAGGTGGAGTGTACATGCGTGGTCTGGGGTCTGCATACCAGAAACGTCCTCTGAAGGTTTGCTTGCTCCATAACCCCAGCCACACTGCATGGTATCTGTCCTGTCATGAGCTTCTGCACCATACACTGGCTTAAGTACTCTTTTCTTTTTTACAGGAATTTCTCTGGTAGCTCTTGTAATTCCGGTTTCATTTGGAATGTTTGTTAACCACAAATGGCCCAGTAAAGCGAAAATCATACTTAAGGTAAGAGACATATATAAGGCCAAAGCATAAGCAATTATGGACAAATTATGGAATCAGTGGCACCACTGAAGCAGTACTTTGCTATTCATAGTATTAGTATCTGACTTCATAAGAGCCAGGAAGTTTTCAGCAGAAAACAAGCGAGACATTGTGAAAATATATTGCTTTCCCCCTGCACAAATATGCATGAGTTGCATACATTATTAGAAACGATCATTATCAAAAGAGCCTACTTTTGTCTTTGGCTATGTTAGCAATTGAGTTCAGTATATAATGTAAACTGAAATTGAAAGGAAAATCATTCAGGTCAACGGGAAGGAGTTTTTCTCTGCAAAACAATAAAAAATAAAATCATTCTGGATCAAAAAAACTTTCTTCTTTTAAACCAGCATGTTGATTTTTTTGTGTTTCAGTTTTGAGTGGGAAGTTGATATTTATTAAAAAAAAAAAAAATTGAGAATATTCCAACTCTTAAAAAAAATCCCAAAAAATTTATTCCCAAAATACAGCTATCTTTGCAAGATGGTGTCAGATGCATCAAAAAACATAGAGGGTTTGATAAAAACTCTTCTCATCAAAATAATAATAATAATTTAGTTGTATTTAAGGCAATAATGAATTAATCATTCTGAACTTTGGTTTTAGGTTTAAATAAATTGTCAGTTGTGCTGAGGTCCCTTGGCCTCTTTTTTTAACCCTTCTTAGTTAACAGATATATTATCTAAATTTTTTTAAAGAAAACTAGTCTGTCCACTTGTTATTCTACTTATCTTTTGTTGCATTTCTTTTCTATTCTATTTCTAGTTCCGGCAGCATAGAACACAAATAATTCCTTTTTTAGTAATTTCCCTTTCTTAAACTGCTGGCTTATCATGTTGTATTTTTAAATGCACTTGTTATGAACTTGGGTACTATTGAGAGCTGATTTCAAAACTGTACTATTTCTGTTTAATCAGTTAAGGGAAAAACATGGACTTGCACTCAAGTGAAAAGAAACTTTACTTGACCTCTCAGCAAAGCACCATTTCATCCTTTTACTTACTGAGTGGGTGAGCAACCCATAGAATGGTCCATTGACAGTTTGCTTTATGTAGGACGATGAAGCACCAAGGGAAGATTGAACCATAGCTGTCATATTAAGGCCCATATAGTGAGAAATTTAGATAAGAGCACAAAGACAATGCTCCAGGTGAAATAGAGGAGCTTGTCATGGACAGATCATGTTTCTTCTTCCTAGGTGCATGTTGTTAATAGCTCAGCCAAACAAAAGCACTTATTCACTCAGTGTTCTTAAAAAGGCTTCAGCCAAAGACTGATGAAGCCAGTACAGTGGGAAAGCATGTTTTAGCTGAGAAATAGATTCTCCTAAACTTAGACTGAGAAGTCTGGCACTGGAATCCCTGGCAACATATGCCATAATGGCAGATATTTCACTTGGGTATTGAGAAGAGAATGAGTTATGACTGTTTTTTGGCAAGCAGCAGTAAAGATATCAGTACACTAAGAAATGGGAAATAAGATCAACTTCAGTGATTAGGTCTATGTAGAAGTGCTATACAACCTCACAAACAGTTTTCAAGCATGAATTTTCAGCCACATTAAAGATTTACTCCTGTGCTTGGCAAATAATTTCCTATCACTAACTAACAATCTAGTGTCTAGTTACCACACACTGCAATAAGCCTCACAGTGTGACTGGCCAAGGGTGGGGAGGAAAATATATTGTTCTACCTATTAGGCTGTCAGCTTCCCAAGAAATCTGGAGAAATTTTTCTAATGTGTGCACCATTCCTCATTTACATCACACCTGTGAAATTATTTTTAATATCAGTTCTAAGTACAATTATAGCCAAAGCTTAAAAAAACTAGCTTTACAGGTATCTGCTATAAATAAGTATTCTAACTGTGCCTTGATCTATATCTGTAGTCACACCCTGAAGGACATCTTAGGTCTCCTGTTTGGGAAAAATGGCAGCTATCTAATCTCTCCTCCTGTTGTGAATTGCATTGCTGTAAACACTGGGGTTTGTGTTTAGTAAGATGTTTCAGCAACTCAGGGACACTCACAGGCATGTTTGACACCATGTTTGTTGCCATTAAATTTCACTAGGGTATCTTATTCATACAGTCTTTCCTCTTTCCCTTCGCAGGTCGGTTCCATTGTGGGAGCAATCCTCATCGTGCTCATTGCTGTGGTTGGGGGAATACTCTACAAAGGCTCCTGGATTATCTCACCCAAATTATGGATCATTGGCACCATATTTCCAGCAGCTGGCTATTCCTTAGGATTCTTCTTGGCTCGCATAGCTGGTCTGTCTTGGCACAGGTATGGAATTCTCCATGACAAAGACCTGCAGGCTTCTTTCAGCTGTGTAAAAAGCTTTTATTTAATGATTAATCAATGCTAGGGATGTTCCTTAAGCATTATTGTAACAGTCACTCATTCTCCAACCTTGTTTCTGGGATAGTATGTGCAGATAAAACTTTTCTTGTGCATGTTGAATACAGATTCTGATTATAACATATCCTCCAGTCCTTCATATGACTTCCCCTTGTGTTACACTGCAAACAAGTGAAACATTTGACTTGTAAGTGGGTTGGGACTGCAGTAAAACTTCTCATGAAGATACAGCAGTCTACAATTTAGAACATCATTAAAAGAAATGGAGACAGTGAGTGCTCTGTATGTGGATTGAAGGAGGATCACAGTCCTTTACAACTGCTGAAATGTGTGATCTGGTGGTAACAGCAATATGATTGTTTTGTTGACTGTGTGAGCTAAAAGATGCAATTTTCTTAGTTATCCATTACTGGATGTTTCTTGCTTACACAGATTACTAAAAAGCATAAGGACCCACAGGCTGCTATTTCACAACTGTCTCTGTATTTTTTTTTTTTAGATGTCGCACAGTGTCTCTGGAAACAGGCATGCAAAATACTCAGCTATGTTCAACTATAGTACAGCTCTCATTCAGCCCTGAACAACTTGAACTGATGTTTACTTTCCCACTCATCTACAGCATCTTCCAGCTGTTGTTTGCGCTGCTAATTTTAGGAGGTATAGTTATATTTTATTATAGCACTATAATTATAATTATTTTTATTATTGGTTTAATTTTTCATGCATATGGAGAAAACAAAAGGGGATAAAAATAATCAAATGCAAAATACTTCAACAAATTATGATCCAAATGATTACTGTGCCCTGTACTTAACCAGAAAGATAACAGGCTCAGTTCAAGATTTGAAAGACCCTTTTTTAGCACAAGGAAGGGGTTATCCAACACCTACAACTGGGCATATGAGAACACTGAGCATGAGATTGTTATTACACTTGGCTGAGGAAGGCCAAATGCATCTTATTCCACTGATCCAGGCTCTTTGGGCATACAACTGCCCAGCACGGCCATCCCCACAACCATGAGCAAATGCCCCCTCCTACCAGCTCTTGAGAGAACAGGCATCAGCTTCATCAATAATGTGAGAAAATACCTTCAAACAGACGTGAAGTCCCTTTTTCCTCCCACATACACCTCAGTTTCGCTGCTGCTCGTACAACTAACCTAACAAGGGTTGGAACCTTGTTCCTGTTACTCACACATAAAACCAACTGTGACTATCAAGTTCCCACTCCCAAACCAGCCATTCTCTCTGTCATGAACTGGGGTGAGGACAGATGAAACACTTTGTCCCAGCTCTGCCAAGCAAGACTCACTCAGTCCCTCAGGCCCAGCCAAGAACTCAAAGGTTTCCCAAGGGAGACTGGCAGTACTTTTAAAAGTCACTGCACACTACGGAAGCACAAAGCAATCAAACACCAAATGCAGAGTTTAAACCATTAAAATCTCTAAATATAGTTTTCCAGGGATGAGTGACACAAAATAATTAAACATAACTTTAAAGAAACTGTTTGGATGGGTTGGAATGTTTTAACAGTATAAGGAAATAAAATGTTGCATGGCTATATGTTACTACAGTACCTTTTTAAGGCAATTTTTATAATTTCTATATTTAATACTCAACATATATTGATTCCCAGGGTACCGTCTTTACAGAAGACACCGTGTCAAAACAAAGACAGACGTCGAGAAAACAGAGCAAAAAGAGGATTCCACATCAAATGCTAAAATCAATGGTGGATTTGTATCAAATGAGACCAAATAGACACTTACCTCTGCTCCCACCAGCTGGAAAGATAAAAAATATGTGGTTTACTTAAAACTTTTTTTTCACATGCTGTTCGTTTACAGAAATATTTAACAAAAGAAGTTCTGCTGATATTTTACAGTAAGACTTCAAAATTATTAACTTAAGAAAGATTACTACTTTGATTTTGAGCATGGTTCCAGCCACAATTGTAGAATCTGGTTTTGAAGCTAAGTCTCAAAAATATGTAATGTTTTATTCTGGCTTATTTAAAGAAAGGCAGAATAAAGGTGAGCTATTGCTAAAAAACAAGCAGATGTATGCAATATCAGCTCTAGCCCATAGTCCTGCAAATCCCTCTGCTGGTCTCAGCCCTCACACTAAAGAAAGAGAAATCCTGTGAAAGTGCCTGAGCAGCAACGGGAGTTGATGTGGAAGATCTGATAAGGCTGAATATGAATCAACCATGAAATTGGAACAAGCCAATAATGAAACAAAAGTTTCATTTAGGTCAGTGTGGGCAGAATAAAGTCATTGCACCGTATTAATTGCTTGAACAATAATTTATTCTAAAGTTATAATTTTAATAAGTACAAGGTACCTTATGGCTCTATTATTTTTTTCCAAAGTAATAGAAAGTAACAGCTTTACATCTTCAGTCTGGGTCTTTTCAGTGCTAGAAACATGAAAAGAGAGACAGCGGTGTGACAGCTGCATACAAAAGGGCAAGCAGAGATTCTGGAAGTGTAAGAAATTGTCAGCTTTTGCACTAAAAGGAAGGCATTTGAAAATCAAGTAAAATTGTCCCTGGTTCATCCAGGACTGCTTTCACCAATCTTGACATGAGACAACAGTGCTTGTAAAGAGCTATATATTTTTGTTATTTTATGAACTCCATAAAATTGAACTTACCAGATGTCTGGGACATGTAGAGACTGATGTAGTTGAAAACTTTCAGATTTTATTTATATGAGCCACCAATAGAAATAATTGGTTGTAAAAATATATTATTTGTCCATGAAATTTCAAGAGTACCTATAGAAAGTTGTCCTAAGTGTGTGGAGAAAATGAGTATAATTCTAGAGAAACGGTGCAGTAAATTGCAGCTGTAATGTTTTATGGATACATTCAGTAATGTTAGTTCTGTAGCTCCTATGTAAGGAAAACATCCAGAGAACTTCATACGAAAGAGTGAAAGTTTGACTGACCAAAAAATTCAAAAATGAGCCAACTATCAACACACAGAAAGTATCCACCTTTCTTTTGTATTCAAGAGGACCTTCCAAGCTGTTGTGAGTTAATTTGGCAGGTTTTTTACAAATAAAACTGAAACTGTGGAGTTTAAGTTCCCGTTGTGTAGTTTTCCACTGTTGCAGAAACATGCCCAATATTAAAAAAAGAATAAATTATTGCTATCCAGCGTCTTGCGGGGGAAAGGGTCTTGAAGTGTTCTGAATTCTGGGAGGTCTGAAGCTGCTTTACTTTTGAGAGGGAGTTCCAAATGGTCATAACCTCCAAGGAGGAGTTCAACACTTAGTGTTTAGCACATAACGAGGCATGCTATGCTTTATAGAAAAGAGATTAAACAGAACAACATGGTGAAGACTGTTATGGAGGAATCATAAACGTGAAACAGCATATTCATCAAGAAAAGGATAAGCTGCTATTTGTGACATCTGTACTAAAAAGCCTATTGTCTTGGTCCTGCATTCAGCAAAAAATGGGCAGCAGAAGTTAGTTAGGATCATGTCTTTCTTACACACCAAGCTGCTATTATTCCCCCATGCTGAACTTCAATGTTTCTGTGAATATTTTAAGCAGATTTTGAAATGTATCGAAGAATAATGGTTTGTCTTGCTTATACTATGCATGTGTGTGTATTTAATGCAACTGTATAAACATTGAACTGAATAAACTCAGAAACTATTTATAATTTTGCCCGCTGGATTAATTTAAGGTGGAAAGAATTGAGACCAAAACCTAACACGAAGGCAGGGTTTATAGCTTTGAGATGTAACAAAAACAGCTCAGGTTATGTGTGAAATGGATATGTTTAATAATCATAGAATCATAGAACAGTTTGGCTTGGAAGGAACCTTGAAAGATCTTCTAGTCCAGACTCTGTGCAATAAGCAGGAACATCTTCAACTAGATCAGGTTGCTCAGAGCCTCATCCAACATGGCCTTGAATGTTTCCAGGGATGAGGCGTCTACCATCTCTTTGGACAACATGATGAAGCTTAAATGAACATAAGATGTCTCATGTCATACTTGATACACATTTTCTAGTGTATATGTGCATTCAGGGCCTCAGATGAAGAATGGAGTCTGCAGTTTGTGCAGCCATTACAATTATATCTATCAAGGATCGTATGTCCTAAGCTTTACATGAAGCAAAGCCAGCTCAAAGGTCTTGCCCAGCATATGCCTTAGAGCACATCAAACCTAAAACAAAATCTCAGGGCTTGTTAACATTGTGAGAGGCAGACTTATACTGATGTGACAACTTCTAAGTCTCCAGCTGTAGTGTCAGTATCAGACCATCACTTGTGAAGCTGTGGTGGAATATCTCACAGCAATGTAAGGGACCATTAGGGAAGTTGTGTTCTCTCCTCAGACATCTCCAGAAAGATATGTGTCTTTGGCTCTCAGTCCTATAAATGCTGATATATGTGCTTCTCAGCTGAAGAAGTCTGATGGTCTCCAGCCTTGCAGTTGCAGTTATCCTGACGTTGTCAAAAGGAAAACCTTGGCCTTGTTTAACCTGCTCAGGGTCATCTCCTCACATTCTCTAGCATGAAAATCCTTTCAAAGACAGGCAGTATCACTTAGTTACCACTGCTCATTAAACAATCTTCTATCCATGGAAACAACCTATGGATGGGACATTGCAGATTGTAAAATTTAAAAGTACGGTGCAGTGATATTCAGGCTAAAAAATGCCTGCTCTAATTAACTCTTACACGTACTAGTAATCTTGAGTTTATCACTTCAAACTAATAAGTAATACAGATGCCTTTGCAATGCTGGTTCTCAAGCTGTTGCAGTCAAAATGAGCTGTAATATGCCTAAGGACAGACACCCCCTAAAAGTTGAAATGACAGCTGAATTAAAGCCTAACTCATGCCAAAGTCTGTAGCATAAGGCCTACAAAGATACAACAATCACACTTGCCAAACTGATCTCTAGCCATAAATCTGGATATAAAATGTATTCTCTAGTCAGCAAAGAGAAGGAGACAGACCCCCACAGAGTTAATCATGTCTACTGTCTTAGAATTGCCTATCTCTATGAAGTAAATTCACAAGGCCTGTATTAAGTGAAATATATAAATTTTTAGTCTTAGACAGTAAAAATCTAGTTGAAATTAAATTCATCTTTTTGTCTTCATTTCTTTTCTGCATAAATTGGCTGAGCACCCAATTTGTTTCCTTTAACCAGGAAGATAGGCTTTAGAGTTGAGAAAATGAAAAGTATGCAAAATAAAAGATAGTATGATTATTCTAATCTTCTATTATATAATTTGTAATAGAATTAATTTCTCATCTGACCTAAAGACAGGTGGAAGAAGTGTTTCTGCCATATAGTGTGCTATGTTAGTTGGAAGAAAGTGCAATTGGAATAGAATTAACAAGCAAATTGATTTGCAATTTACATTAAATGAGTTTCTTGTTTCAAACTAATCAGGTTATGATGTTGAAAACCTACTGTTATTCTCTGCCAGTCAATATCATTTTTGTCAGCCTCAGATACGAACTTATTTTTTGGTAGCCCAATCAATTAATATGCTGTACAGTTGATGCAAATATAAAACAATAATCAGTATTCCCTAACTCCAAAGGAACAGACTTTCACTTCTCGGTATCTGACAAGAATCTGTTCTCCACAGATTAACTGTATTGCTTGCTCACAACCAGAATTAAAGTAAATATAGTGTAATGGTCCCACAACTAAACAGCAATTAAGCAAACTTGACTGGGTTTTCCAAGCCAGAACTGAAGGACAATAGAAGTAAATCTCTGCTTCTGTCTTCTAAGGAATATTCATTGTGCTCCAAAAGCATTAACATCTCAGATAAGCTGATCACTAAATTAACTTAAAATGCCAAATGTAAAAATAACTGTAACTTGCCAAGATATCTCCCAGTTTTCAAACTGGAATTGGAGACTAGGGAAAACTGAAAGTTCTGAAGGCGTCCTAATGTGTTTTCATGAATAGACATGTACTGTGGAATGGTATTACCCTCTCCATTTATTATCCATTAAATTTTACCATCGACAAGTAAGTTTCTAGCATCAGCCTTCATGCTCCCCTGAAAAAATGTAGTCAGTACTGTCAGCAGAAAAAGACAGATTTTGGTCTGGAGAGCAAGCCATTACACTCTTCAGACACCTGGTCGAGGACAGGAAGAATTCTGGAAGGAGACAAAGACATTGTAAAAAATAAATAAATAAATAGTTTCCTGAGGACATTCCAAACTATGTCTATACAAACAAAGAGCATATAAAAAAGTATTAGTGATATCTCTATTTGCTTATAATGGACTTAATATAAAATCAATCAATCAATTCCCAATTTCTCTTGAAAGATCATAAATCAGCCTCCTACTTCAGATTAGGATTGATTTAAGAAAATGTGAGACTTTGGAAGTACTAAATTGAAATAAAGTTCATCATCTTTTCGACTTCAGTTATTTGTAGATTCAGCCATGATGACTGGACTTTTGCCTTTCCAATAACCCACCAACTAAGAAATCCTTTGCAATCACAGCAACTACTTTAAAACTTCAAAGAAAGTGAAAAGAAAACTCAACACTGGAGAAAACTCTTACTGACTGCAAGATGGAGTTGATCAGTTCCTTTAAGTAGTTTATTCTCTGGTCTCTATATATCTAGAATAATATTATAAAAAGGAAAAATTTCTGTACAAGGCAAACAGAATCTAATTGTTTTTCCTTTGAGCACACAAAGCTCATGCGCAATTCCTCATTCGCTGCCACTGTTCTGGACCATGAGAAATATTAGCATCTTACACAAATTTAACAGTACTTCATATCTCATAGATATAACTTAATTGCTTCAGATGTACTGATTAGGTCTGCTGATCAGGTATCATTAAGGTAATCTGATACATTCTTTTATGTGACTATATAATGACTGCAGACCTTCTGTCTCCTTCTTCTGCAATGATTTTATGTATTACTCATTTGGGAGATTTCATTACAGTTTTTAAAAGACACTTTCCCCCATATGAATTCAAAATAGAAGCAAGGAGGTCATATTGAGATGGTAAGGCCCTGTTTAAGTAATTTGATGGTACAATTAATTCCCCACAAGTGGAATTAACTGCAGGGGATTAATGAAAATGTCAGGGTTACAGGTTGTGCTGGTGATGTGTTTCTAATGTCAGTAGTAAATCTGCTGTAGGTAGAACACAAATTCTTTCCACGTAAGGCTCTTTCTTTAAAAATATACCCTGAACTCATAAAATAAACCACAGCTGATATGGAAGAATTTTCCATAAAAGTGCACCTAGTGAGGAAATAGAACAAAACATACAGTTTACCTCAAAGAACATATATTCCAGTTTTAAGATATCCAATGTTTGTTTAAAAAAATTATAAAATTAATGCACAATATCTAAAAAATGGTCTTAAGAAAAAAGTGGGGAAAATGATTTGTGGACATCAACTAGCAATTTAA